CTGTTCCAGGTATTTCAGCCCTCTTCAATCGACTTATCCAGACGGCATCTTGTGCCGAACGATAGCGTTTCGGTTCAGGGACTTGGTTGGAACCAGTATGTCGAAATAAAGTTTTTTTTGGAAATTGACGCATGTGCGGACAACTTCTGGCTCTCAGTTTTGGACTCCTCCTAACTTCAGTCGCCCCCTTCATGGAAATATACAATTGTCAGATGACTTCGGTCTTCTTCGGGGCTCTGGCAAACATATTTATATTTGCATGGCATCGTGCGCTGAGGTGATTTTCACACTAATCACAGCTCAGCATCTTACCTTGATCGTTTCATTGTCCCAGAATCCGTGATCGTAAATTCATGCAGAGGCACCAGAGAACCTTTGTCCCCCATACTCACAAACTTGTAAATGGACCGGGTGTAGGTTTCGCCGTCAAAATGGTTCCATAATTCAGGCAAATTATAAATAACATCTTGCAGTCCTAATCTACAATATCCGACTACCCCAAATTTAGCAGTACACATCTAAACTTGTTATAGTTAACTCTCCACGCGGCTAATTTCTCCGACCAGAGGTTGTTGTCTACATTCGAGGAATCGGCGCCTTAATCAGGACTGTTCGAATGTCCTGGGGCACACCTGAGAGGTTGAGCCAACTCCCAGTGGCCTGAGCCGGCGCCTTCATACCCCAGCGGCTGGAATCGGCGCCGTCATCTCCCAGCGGTCGGAGTCGGCGCCGTCATCTCCCAGCGGCTGAAATCGGCGCCGTCATCTCCCAGCGGTCGGAGTCGGCGCCGTCATCTCCCAGCGGCCGGAGTCGGCGCCGTCATCTCCCAGCGGCTAGAGTCGGCGCCGTCATCTCCCAGTGGTCGGAGTCGGCGCCGTCATCTCCCAGCGGCTGAAATCGGCGCCGTCATCTCCCAGCGGTCGGAGTCGGCGACGTCATCTCCCAGCGGTTAGAGTCGGCGCCGTCATCTCCCAGCGGCCGGAGCCGGCACTGCCATCTCCCAGTGGCCGGAGCCGGAGCCGGCCTGACGTCCGGCTGGTCCGCCGGTCCGCCGGTCCGTCGCTTCCGTCGCCGGGGCCATTAGCCGGGCGGCGACAGCAGCGGCGATGTGCGGTGTGCCGGCCATTTTTGGGCGCCGCACCGTCTCGTCAGGTAACCTTAGCCGCCGCCGGCCCGGCCGGCCGCGCGCGCCCGGCCGCGCCAGCACCCGAAATAGCGGCCGGCCGGTGCGCAGGCGCAGGGAAAACAGCTGACTGGGGCGGGTGCCTGGCTGCCAGCGGCCGCCGGCCCCGGCCGCCTCAAACACCGACCGCCTTTTGCTGGACAGCTCCGAATCTTACTGCTGAGTTTCTCTCCATGGGATGTAGAGAATGAGGGGCGATCCCAACGGCCAGAGAGAGATGTCACATACGACGTGTAGGCCTCTTCTCGAGGACTTGATATGAACCTCACCTAGGCGACTGATAAGGAGCATGGGGATGCAGTGATGGGCGGACACAAGTGGAGCTTGGTATAAGGTGTCACTGATTCAGCTCTCACTGCAGGGGCATTCATGAATGACGCGAGCATTATTAATTCTGTTGATGATATCACCATGGGCTGCCACTTGCACACGAAGAGCAATTCAACTTTTTCAAGTTTTTAGAGGCAACAAATAGTTTACCGCCAGGTGGCATTCGTACATTTGGCTGGCAGCCGCCCCCATGAAAAATGCTGCCTGGCGCCCCGCCACCACGCCAAAAAGTAATTCCAGCGGCGTCGGCGGGTCTTCGGGAGGGCGCCAACATACACCACCTCCTTAAGGCAGCCCGGCGACAGCTGAGCCCTGGGATCAGTGCAGCTCAGGTCCACAAATAATCACCACCAATGGCCGTGAAAACGGAGCCTTAAACTTGAAAATTCGCTGAAAAAACAGCCCGGAAAACGTGACTGGGCTCGCCCTGTGGCGTTACCGGAAAGAGCACTGGCAGCATGAGTACGACCTTTTGACATTACACTCTACGGGCTTGCAGATTCGCTATTCTCCACCACTCGTCTAGGTATATATTTCACGCCTAGGAGCGCAACATCGCCCGCGGGCATGGGAACTTGCAAGACAAAGGCCTTCAGGAGCTCCCTATTTCCAATATCTCTATTTAGCGGCCTGAGAAGCACATTTCAAAATGTCGGACATTACGCTTATTGTAGACCAGGACGGACGAACAGCAGATGGGGCGTCATTGTAAAGCACCTCTTTTTCATTGCTTCCAAGCAATAAGCTTGAAGCCCAAACGGCATTTGCCACGTTCGTCAGCAAACTCCAGTGTTTACGTTGCTCTATCACGTCGCTGGGTGAGCCGGAAAAGTTCTCCGAGATCACTGCATTGCTAAATAAGACAAGCACTTGTGTATACTAACACAACATACGCGTGCGAGCGGAGATAAACCGCGTGATCGAGATATACAAAAACGTGAATTCCGAAAACGATTTTTTCATTTGGTAATGACAACACAGCTTTTCCACAGCAGGTTTTGTCAAACTTGGATCAACACAAGGCATGATGTTCCTGATCTCCATCCGAGGTGGGATAAGGAAAAAGAATGGAGATGTAAGAAAAGGTACATCAATAGTTACAGAAAAAGAGCCATTACAGAGTGTTCCATATGCATAGTTGGAATATAACAGGCATACTGAATGTGTATTTGAACATTTACATGTCCCACCTTTGTGCTTGTAAGACAAAACAAGAGCAAATTTACACATGCATGTATACATGTGTGTCTGTGAACATAATATCACCTGAAAGCCATCCTCCCTACAATGACATAACATGGCATGACCTCTCCGTGACACATGCCAATCAAGAAATATCCAGAAACGTCCTGATACAAAACTGCAACCACAGCCCTGCTTGGTGACATGGCACAGTTACAGATCCTTTTCAAGGCATGACACTTGCAACACAGTGTTAAAATCCAATTGTAATTATATCATCAAGTCAGAGAGATTAAGTTATGGTGGCAAGGTCTGCCTAGTCTGGCATGACCTAAACCCATTTGTGTCATAGCAATATTGTGTTTATCACATGCTTGCATGTCATTCAAGAACCAGAATTTGGCTGCTGATATTGAAACATTTCATTTAAGCTACAGTCACTGCCTTTAAATTGTCAAATGTGCAGCCCAAAATGTAAAATTCAAGTAAAATGTAAACCATAAAATGAAAACCCACTTCAGTTCATTAGAATGTGTTTATTTGAGCAGCAGTAAGAAACTCAGAGAAATCTTGATACTTTAATAAATGCATTGAGGAGCATATGTGAAAAATTTCAGCCGATTAAAAAAAACATGCAAATCAATGTTAGAAATCAGCCATCTGCACTAAAATATCATTTGCATCACAGTGCTAGTTAGGACCAAGGACTTTAAGGGCATCACAGCATTGCATTAACAAATTTAATTCCCCATTTTGCCAAAACATTTGGAAAACATTCATACCAGATTTCTAGTGATCATCTCTTCTTGCCCAATCATTAGCACTGAGCTCATTAACAGCACCAGTTATGTTAATAGTTGTCAAATTTATCAGGAAAAGGTCACTTCACCAAAAAAGGAATTTATTCAGTTCAAAACCATGTAAGTTTGTTCAGTGTGTACATGCGGAACATTATCCATACAGATAAGATAGTAGTAATGGCCTTATTCTAAAAGAAAAACCATTTAAGTTTTTTAAATTTTAACTTGAATTTCCATATTGTGTTGCACATATGAAAATTTAAAGGCAGTGACAATAGCTAAGACAGTGTTTCAATACATGTAGCCAAATTCTGGTTCTTAGACATGTAAGCCTGTGATAAACACAACAGAACTGTGACACAAACAGGTTTACCTCATGCTAGACTAGGCAAATCTTGCTACCATAACTCAACCTCTGACATGATGATATAATTACAAGGGATTTTAGTGATTTGTTTCAAGCATCATTCTGCTCTTGTTTTGATACAGGCATGTTGCCAAAATATCAACCAATCTATTTTATCTACTTTCCTGGTTTTTCAAGAAATCAGACTATTATTACTGTCTTTTCTATGAAAATGGGAATCTACACAAACAATATGTTCTGATGAGCCACTGATGAATCACTGCAAGAGTTCAAAGGGTGGATGTATATCCACCACTCATGATTGATATACCTGGTAAAAATACAAATTGCTAAATGCATCTCTGCTGACAAATTTGGCTATACACAATGTTGTGCATTAGTGAACATGGGTCTAACCCAAGCCTAAAAACTGTGTCCTGTTTAATATAATTGATAAGTTACAAGCATACATGATTTTTCTCAATGGCCTTTGCACACCTCCCCCATGTCTTGTACACTTCTTCTGTCCAACCACCTGATGCATACCAAACATACTGATTTTAAGCATGGAGTCCTTCCTCAAAGTACCTAAAATTCTGGGTGCAAAAAAACCAAATTGCATGAAAGTAACCCATACTAAGCAGACTGGCTCTATGATGAAGCATCTGATATAAATTTGATTGGGTTAGCCAAAGAGAATCACTGTCTGTCTATTACATAACATCTGACAAATGTCACCTCAGTAGGTCAGGTGCCCAGGTATGCATAAATGCTATGCAATGCCATGCTATGCAACTGACACTTATGCTGACAGTCAGCCATCTATAGTGTAATCCTATCATGTGAGGTGCATCTCTTCACAGCAGGATCAGAAATTTAACACTGGTGTGTTGGGATAGCTTGTACCAACTTTATAGCTTGTATTATGCAATTTCAGAGAGCTGTGAAGGTGTAATGCCTAATGCAAGCAGATCTTGGATGTTCTTGTTCGCAGAATTGCTCCTTTACCTACGTTGTGTTGTTAAAATTATGCCGTGAGGGTCATACCATTATCACAATTGTCACGCTGAGATAAAAAAAGAAGAACTGGCAAATCTAGTTTGAATTCATTTGGATTTCGCGGCGGACGGGGACAACACAATGATGCACTGGAACTCACTTTTTTCTGCTGCTTCTCCCAGGCAGGATCCAAGAGGCCTTCTCTCTCCCACTCATCTTCCTGTTCCATGTAATCCATTTTCGTCGTCGTTGTACATCTTTTTTGTTCTCTACCTATTAACGAAACAACTCACAGTCAAACGGGACCGGCACGCGCACCCTCAACCGCATCGGTGGTGCCAGGCAAGCAGACTCAATCGCTACAGTTTGCCGCGCTAGTCCGCTGGCTAGCGGTAGCCAACGTTTGGTAAGATCTGCCACCTGTTGCTCCTCTAAATGACGCAACCAATGACGTAGCCCAAAATATTGAAAAGCACTCCGGTACATCGAATGGATCTGGAGACAAACCCGTGATGAATGCAGTGTTGTAGCTGATTATGAAAAGAGAAAACCCATCAAAAGCTTTAAGAGACGTGTGTCCAGGAGTCATGAACGTGTGACAACTTGTGGGAATTACTGAGATCCGGGAAGTGAACATTAGTAGAGCAGCAGCACCTCAGGAAAGAGATCACAAAAAAAAACATTTTACCGTGGCGCTACCGACAGGAGCTATCTGTTTCGGGCTCTCTCAGGCTCACACTGAAAATTCTTGAGTAGTTAGGCTATACCAATGTTCTTTATCCAATGCAGCGTATCATCGCTGACCGTGTCAATCAATCCAACGAGGGAATTGCCTGTCCACCAGAGCCCAATTCTCGGTTATTGAATGTACGTGACTACAGAGCCAGTGTTTCAAAGGCATCGCCTCCACCTCCCCTACTCCCCATGATTTCCAATCAAACGTCGTCTGCATTTTTGCTTTAATAACGCACGCATGCACACGATCAATGACATAACTTTGAACGCTGGTGCATCGTGTGGGGAGATACCGGGGTACGCGCCGCCCGTTGCCAATTGTATTGTAGTGTGGATATAATGTTTACAACTAAAACATCGAGGTTGGTATCCATCAAAACCCAAAAACTAGACATGCGGCGATGCTTGTGCCATGCAAGAAACTGCGGTAGCCAACGAGGTACTAAAACGTGTTTTCTGTTAAATGTTGTCTGTTGTGACTAACGAGTCCGACTCCACTCCCCCCACCCCATAGTGAGTTCTTGCAGATACCCTGGTGATATACCATCACCAACCCACCTTTCTTTGGAACGGCGCCATGTCCCTTTTAAGCTTTGTCTATGAAAGAAGAATGGCCTCATGAATCCCAAAATTGCCGTGGACACCACCTCTTTGAACCTTTGTGATTGAGTCATTCCTTTATTCGCGCAACATACACCCTTTGTTGTTGTTGTTTATTTGAGTTTAGGGGCGCCTTGACTGCAGTGGTCATTTGGCGCCCATAACATATACCCACGCATGACAGAAATCCGTGATTGGGCATAAATACTACTTCGTTCATTTGAACACGATCAATCCGCCCATATGATACGATGGTATGCGATAGATCGCAAGTCGAAATACTAATAAGACTGAAAGCCCTTCTTCCTCAGAATTTTTACCATCATTCTTAAATACTTTACCTACCCTAACACCTGCCATTCCTACATATTTTGCTATTCTAATCGACAGACGACCTACGGACTCGTTTCTAATTTGCCACGATAGCCAATGATGCGCATGGTATCAATGGGTGTTACATACCCAGTTTAACCTTTTTTTAGATTTGTCCTAGATTCAGTCGGCCTAAACTTCCTGTTTCTTGAGAAACACATCATGCGGCATGCATATTGGTGTTCTTCTTATTAAAGCACCACTCACGGTTCACGTCGGTGTCTGAAAGCCGCAAGACACTCGCCGCTACATGAACATGGGCACACGCGACATTCTTGTTACAAGGGAACAGCACGCAAAAACGAGCATACGGCAAAAACCACTTCGCAAGCCCGTCGGGTGACCGTCCCAGACCAGCGTGGCGCATACCGATACCATGCGGCCGAGCTCGGAATAGGTGGCAGCACAACCACCCGGGCGTCGGCCGCCTACTTTCAAACGTGCACCGGCCATCAGGCCATTCGCATTTCCGGAACATGAGCTAACAGTGCACTCCAGTCACAGGAGAGCTCCAGCAGCACATTCAGAATGTAGCTGCAATGGTGCCCTCGCAGAACGCTGCAGAGAGCTGCTGCTGAGGCAAGCAGCTCACAGTCCATGCCAAACCGCTCATGGTCTTCTGCGTACAAATGCGGCCACCGGCGGCACATTTCACCGCTGGCTCCCTGCGAAGTCCAGGCAGCCTAAGACACCGCTGGAGACTGAGGGAACTGAGCGGCAGAGACGCGCGTCTCGGATCCGGGCCCGGCCCGGGGAGGCCGCCGCCGTTAGGCTGGCCGGTCGAAGGCAGAGCCATCTGTTGGTGACCGGCCTGCGTGGGGCTAGGCGTGGCCGTGCTCGTGTTGGACTGGGGCTCCTCCGTGAAGGGCACGTGCCAGCCCCCGGCCGGATCACACTGCGCCCGAACCTCGTGCATAATCGGCACCTGGCGGCAGAGGCCACGGGTCAGGTTCCAAGGCATGGTCAGCTGTACCCGAGTCATGTGTGCAGGCTCATTATCTAACGGCACTGAGCACAGATGGTCTGGTCAAGGGGGACACTTTTGCTGGTTTGTGTGAAGTACCAACAACTGACGGCAATCACCACCGTCAGACCGACGAACGTCTACGAAAGCATAAGTGGTCATTCAGGGAGGCAAGTACCGCTGACTGTAAGGTCCTTCATATGAACCCCACACAGCTGGCGTAGTCACGTAGTTTCGCTCTGAGAGTCTTGTCTCCACAACGGTTGTTTCCATCCACAACTTTATGGGACGCATAAGCCCCCCCCCCCAAACAAAATCTCCAAAATCGCGAGTGAAAGGCAACACGAAAACATTGTTTCTGAGCGTCCGAGCTTTCACCCGCTCCCGTGAGCGTCAGAGACCCCACCACAGCCGGGTGGGCTGCAGGGCGCGCCGGCCGGTCCAGCCCGCAACGGCGCCCGCCGCCGGAGCAGGGTACAGCCGCAGCCTGGCCGCAGCTGCCGCTGACCTTGATGTTGAGGTTGCCGGCGCTGGTGACGTGCTCCACCTCCAGCCGGTTGGAGCGCACCAGCCGGTTGAACTTGGAGCGGATGGCGGCTGGCAGCCGGGCCGCGTGGTCCCGGAAGAAGTCCCCCGTCACGAACTGCGTGCGCTGGTGCGAGTGCATCACGGCGTACAGCAGGAAGGCGTCGTCCGCCGACCTGGCGGCGTACCCATGCGTCAGTGGCTGACGCGACTGACGTGACGTCCGCTCGTCACATCAGTCACCGGAGTCACGGCCTGGCGTGAATGGCGGATCGGGCGAGCAGGCCGCAGGCAGCCGTTCCGTTCCAAACTGGGCAAAATTCAACTTTCAGCATGTGGTGTCGCATGGCACGGAAGTCGTGTAGCAAACCAGTTGACACACCCGAAGTTCAAATTCATCAACATCACCGAAACAATCAAAACAGCAGACACGATGGCCTTCCCTGATAATTCCTAATTCCCAAAATTTAAGTTTAAATTTAAATTTAATTCGGGCCCCGATCCGGCCTTTACTGCGGCAGCCTCCAACGAGACATATCTCGACGGCGCCAGTTAAGTGCTGAGGGATGTGCTGGGTGTGAGCCCCGCTCTCTGGGCCCGAAGTCAGATGTCATGCTGGGAGCGCCCTGAAGCACCGTGCCCGGTGTCTCAAGGCGTTCGGGAGGGGAGTCGGACACGCACCGATGGCTTGCCCCCCCCCCCCCCCCGCCCGCCCCCTCACCCTCCCAACTGGGATGTTGCCAGGATTTGATGTCTGGGGATCCCATCGATGATCCCGTGATCCAGATAGATCCACCGATTCAAACGACTGGCTCAGACTTCGACTTCAGATTTGTGACGTCATTGGCACCTGCCTTCGGCTCCGACCTGGGCTTCGAAAGCTTCCAATCATGACCCGGCCTCGGCTCATACGAATTCCCGCGGCTGGTTTCGGTTTTGCGATGGCGATTTTTTCGCCGCAGTGCATCTTTCTCTCGCAAAAACAGTCTTGCCTGCCAGTTGTTACTTCATTTGGATCCAGCATACAGCTGTTGAAGGCTGCGACGCATTAACAGCCGAGAGCCAAAGCCATACGGCCGTTCTCAGGACCAGTGAAGCCTGAGAATGCCCGAAGAAGTAACTGCCCGAAATGTTGCGTGTATACTGACACCTAGGACGAAGATTATCGTCCGAAACAAATCCTCCCTTGGCTATGCTAACACATCGTCTCAATCATTCCAAGTCTCAATCAGAGCTCGTATATTAGATGATGTCAGATCATTTCAGCGAACGCAAAAATGACCTAAGTTCCGCAAAACTAGCATAGCCCATCATATTGGACCCCATTATCAGCCTTCTGATTTGCAACTGATGGCTTTGGCTTTGGCTCCGTGTGTACAAAGCTTGATGTCACTGGTTTCGGATTGTCTCGCGTCTTGAAACCGAGAGGCCACAAGTCGCTTCGTTCCGGCCTTGTAGTCCCAAACCTCAAAGCCACCGGCCTTGGTTTCGACTATGACTTCGGCTTTGTGTCATTGTCTTGGCTTCGGATTCCGCTTTGAGCCCCAAACACTGACTTCGTTCCCATGCCTGGTCGTGTTCATAAAGATAGGATCTGTCGTCACACCGTCGTTAATAAACTTGTCGCCCGCATAGCGTGCACCACGCACGGGGGATCCAGCGTCACGGTGAGCACCACGCACGGGGGATCCGGCGTCACGGTGAGCACCACGTGCGGGGGAGCCGGCGTCACGGTGAGCATCACGTGCGGGGGACCCGGCGTCACGGTGAGCATCACGTGCGGAGGAGCCTGCGTAACGGTGAGCACCACGCACGGGGGATCCGGCGCCGCGGTGAGCATCACGTGCGGGGGAGCCGGCGCCACGGTGAGCATCACGTGCGCGGGATCCGGCGTCACGGTGAGCATCACGTGCGGGGGACCCGGCGTCATGGTGAGCATCACGTGCGGGGGAGCTGGCGCCACGGTGAGCATTACGTGCGGGGGAGACGGCGCCACGGTGAGCATCACGTGCGGGGGAGACGGCGCCACGGTGAGCATCACGTGCGGGGGAGCCGGCGCCACGGTGAGCATCACGTGCGCGGGATCCGGCGTCACGGTGAGCATCACGTGCGGGGGACCCGGCGCCACGGTGAGCATCACGTGCGGGGGAGACGGCGCCACGGTGAGCATCACGTGCGGGGGAGACGGCGCCACGGTGAGCATCACGTGCGGGGGAGACGGCGCCACGGTGAGCATTACGTGCGGGGGAGACGGCGCCACGGTGAGCATCACGGGGAGACAGCTATGGGACCATAAATAAGATAACATTCCGCGGAATAAAGAAGTCCGACGAACAGCAATTAGCCATCTACTCCGCGAGTCATTAACCCAGGAATTCTGAGGAGGAATTCTTAAAGCATCTAGCTGCGCATGTCGTGTGGGCACTCTCAAACTATTTTGAGTGGTGACGGCGGCTATTATCATACCGCGTCTACCTGCATGTCTAACGAGCAGACCTACGACTGGAGAATGCGACGCGGCAGGTGCGGCAGTCTTCATACCAACTTCCTACACAATAAGCATAATCCTATGGTTTGATATTGAATAGCGCTCCTTCTGGCAGTTCCGTCACATCCATATTTTCAGTATCCTTCGTCCATGGATAGAAAAAAAGGTTAGTACTGGAGCGGAAATTAGATGGGTAGCAAGTGTCCCCATCTTCGGCAAGATACGGCATTGGCCATGGTATCGTATGGAAAGAAAGACATAACATTGTGATCGCCTCTTCTCGCTCACACATTCCTCTTCCCCCCCCCCCCCCCCAATCTTCACCCCCTTACCCTCTAATTACTCAGAAGGTCTGCCGTCGCCGAGTTTGTAGCGTACCTTTAACAAATGCATTCTAGATGTGTTAAAAAATGATAAGTTGACCGCGTTAAGAATATAAACGAGAAAAATACGTAACAAGCTAAAGAATAAGACCTTGTGTTTCTTGCTGATTATTCCCGTGATTGTGAAATACATCGATATGCAACGCACGGACGACGCAAAATCAATGTTCTCATGCAATGACCAGCAGGCTACCAATCCCGACAAAACCACCACACTGCAGAACATTCACAACGGGAAATAGACCAACAAAACGATTAAGTGCTCTCCTCACATGTTGTCTGCAGTGAAGAGAAGGGCGTGACGTTTGACATACGTCATGTCTTGTTTCTTCCACCCCTGCATGTGGTAGCGGCCAATCACCAGGACCTTCTTGCCCTCTCGAACCGCGAAGTGATCGACCACCTGGACGAGCTGAGACAGACGGCCGCGCACGCGGCACGTTACACGTCCCGCAGACGCAGCTAGGGCAGAGCACATCCGGGCACGTTGGCACGAGTTCAAGGACGCATCGCGAGATACTCACACGAGTTTAATGCAAGTTGTCGAGCATCATGATATCACGCGGCAGCACATCCCAGGTGCAAAACGGACTACTCTTTGCTGCGTACCTCCAAATAACCGCATGATTCGGTAGTTTGTGCACTGCAAGTCTCTGTAGCCACCTTACACATTCTGGTGTTTCAGCGCGAGCCAGACGAGCGCGGCGGCTGGTCCGGATTGTGCTAACACCAGACGGGTTGCCGTTACTTACCATTCAGGAACAGTGCGACCCTTACCTCCCGCGCGTCGGACTCTTTCCCTCTCTGGGTGTGTTGATGTTTTTCAGTTGGGTATACAAGGATGTTTGTCTACGACTGTTTTCATTCAGATACTTGCGCTGTGGTGGGCCAGAATTCTCTGGGGTCCTCGCAGATTGACGGTAATCTTCGCCAGAATGTGCGAAAAATTTGGGCCCACCCACCAGAGCGTGCGGAACACCAGTATTTTCCACACAACCTGGTGAAAAATAAAGCCAGGACGAGCGGCCATCGAGTTCTGGACAACACAAGCTGGAGTATCTGAATAAAAACAGCCTTACCCAAGCATTCATTTTCACCCACGCATGTTAACAGTAATTGTCTTTTAAAGCGCGCTTAGGGAAGACCTATTTCCTCACAGGGCAGGTGAAGGGACCCGCTTTCCTGAAAGTGCAGACAAGAAAAAACCCTATCCTTACACGGCGCATGGGATAACCCTTTCAGATAAATGTAAGAACCCCAAATCACTTCTTCACCATCAGTGTGCGGCGAGCCCCTTTCCTCACCGCGCGTGACAACGGCGACCCCTTTCTCTTGGAGCAGGCGAAACTGACGTTGAGCCCGTCCACTACGACGTCGTAGGGGGCGGTGCGCGCCACGAAACGGCGGAAGCGCTCCACTTCCTGCGGCGTGGACGTCTGGAACACGTCCTCACCGACCAGCACGTGCCGGTCCAGGGCGTCGCGCACCTCGGCGAAGTCGGCCTCGCTCAGCACCGCCTCGGGCAGCACCAGGCCGCAGTGCTCGCAGCGACCCCTGCCGGCAACGACCGGGCTGGGTCACGATTGGGGCGGGCAGCGGGTGGGCTGGGTCACGACTGGGGCGGACAGCGGGTGGGCCGGGTCACGGCTGGGGCGGGTAGCGAGCGGGTAAAGTCACGGATGGCGCGGGCTGGGTCACGACTGGGACGGCCAGCGGGTGGGCCGGGTCAAGGCTGGGGCGGGCGGCGGGTGGGCCGGGTCACGACTGGGGCGGGTAGCGAGCGGGTAAAGTCACGGATGGCGCGGGCTGGGTCACGGGTGGGGCGCCAGGCCGGACCACCAGCTGAGCGTTGGTCCTAGAACAGCAGGATAAGAGCGGGCACCCGTGCCTCCTCTCCGAGTCGCGGGACACAGGTGCGAATGATCTGGCTAACCATTGAAGGAGTCGCGATAACTAGCCCGGACAGCGACGCGGTCGGTGAGAGCAACAGCGGCAGCCGTCGAAATGCCTGAACAGCCCAAAATGCGGTAGCCAGAAAGCTGACGTGCGCGGAGCGGAGGTCTGGCAGCCCCTTGCTTTTAAATTTTAAAATGATCCAAGGCGTCCCACCATACGAAGCATCCCACCAGACGCTCCATAGCGCTAGCATGTTTTTTTTCGAACATCGACCTCGCCCAGGCCAAGACAAGACTACCTTTAAAGGACCAGCTCTTCACTCCATCACTCTGACACGGCCGTAGCAGCCCACCCGTCGGCAGGCATCACCTGTTGGACACGTGCGTGGCCTCGCCGGTCCAGCGCTGTCCCAGCCGCACCGTGAAGAGCTCGCGCAGCCGCAGCGCCTGGTCGGCGTTCAGCAGTACACCACTCTCCGCCAGGTAGCGTGTCAGTCGCGCCACCATCTCGGCCGCTCCCTCCTCGGCCGCCGCCACCTCCGCGGTGCCCGCACGCTCGCCGCTCAGGCGCGCGCGTGCCTCCTGGCGGGCGCGCGCCTCGCAGCGGCCGAGCCAGGCGTCGAGCGCAGCATCGCCGGGCCGCACCAGCGCCGTCGCCAGCTCCTCGAGCAGCGTCCACCCCAGGTGGCGGTCGTCGGCGCGAAACGCGGCGGCCGTCAGCGCCGTCAGCGCCCCACGCGGCAGGTGGCCACCCTGGCGCGCCGCCGGCAGGAAAGACGGCGCCAGGCGCCAGTGGCGCGTGGCGCTCAGGCCCACCACGGCGCGTCCGGCACTGACGCGGTCCAGTGGCGCATCGACCAGCGCGCCGTGTACCGCCAGCGCGTCGTCGTCACCACGGCCGTCGCCGCACGTGGCCACCAGCTCAAGGAAGACGGCTAGGTTGGCAGCGGCCACCGTGCCCGTCGCCTGCCGGTGCCGGACGAGAGAGCGCGCCGACGCAAAGTCGCCCGCAGTCTTGCAAGCACTGAGCGCCTTGTGGTCGATGGCGTCCAGGCTGGCCGCTGGCACCAGGCTGCGGTAGGAGGACGTCAGCTGATCCCAGTCGGCGGCGGTCAGAGGCTCCTTGCACCCAGACAGGGCCGAGTGAAGCAGCTCGTTGGCACTACTCTGCAGCTGCTTGAAGTCGGTGCGCTGCCTGGGCAGCTGGCTGGGTAGCTGACTGAGTGCCGGGAGACCAACATACAGTTGGGAGCAGTGGGGCCAGCGGACTGCTAGCAGCGGTAGTCGGGAGTGCTGCACCAGGCAGATGGTGCCATGCAGAAGGCCTGCTCTTGCTGCACACAGCAGCTCCATTACCTGACAGGCACAGTATCTTGAGCCTAGGAACACAAACAATAATTGATAATAATACAATGGGTATTCTGTCAGAATTTCTGCATATATATCTTCAAGTGTGAATTCTTAGGAAGCATGTACCATGAGCATAATGCCCAACTTAAATTGCCTCATTAAGCATGAGCAATCACATCATGCATCAATTACCATCCTATCAGCATCCCTGCATCACTGATACCTTGGACTTATCTGGCAGCATTGTTGTCATGTGGCAATAACTCACATTCATTCAAATTCAAAATCAAGCTCACTTAAATATGTCATGCTTTAGACCATGTATGTTGCCAAATCTTTAAACACAGTAGGCATATGTTCATGTGTTATGTCTGTGAGTAACAGAAGTTACTTATCACATCTTAAAAACCCCTTCTATATCAATCACCTTCTTTAAAGCAGAATACACTGTAGTCTGTAAGTTTAAAAAAACAGATGCTTTATCATCTCGCCTTTAATTACAAAGCATGGTTATCCTATAATATGGCTGATGTAGGAATGTGCATTAAAGATCATATCTTTCAAACAATTTGTGATATTACAGTGAGACCAAGCAAATGAGGTACACAAGCATACTTCAGACACTGACCCATCAATGGCAGTCTTTTTGCATTTGTTTTTTTCAAGGTTGTTGTTTGGGTATTAACCATTGATTAGTATTGGTAGAACCATGGATTGATGCCCTTATTACACTATGAAGTGCTTTCCTTGTTTGGTTGAAAAAGATTATAGTGGCGAAGATGATTAGCTAAATATGTGACCCATGACATCTGCACACACCATGAACTGAGTACTTTCCTACCTAACGTTAGAAAAAATCATTGCACACCATTCGTCGTGTTCAAGGTGGCACATATCGTAAATCATCTCAAAACAGGTAGAATCATGCTCCTACCTTCGAATTTCAACAACTTCGATGGCGAGCTCCCGAGCGCCGCGCGCACCGCACCGCCCGGACTCCTCAGCGCCGTTTCTGCGTTGCCGTTGCGTAAATACAATATTTCTGCTTACCAAGAACTCTACAAAATGTACGGGACCAAGGTAAACCATTCGTCGTGTTTAAGGCGGAACATATCGTAAATAATTTCAAAACAGATAGAATTATGCTCTTACCCTCGAATTTTAATAAATACGATAGCGAGCTCCCGAGCGCCGCACGCCCCGCACCGCACTGCCTCGACTTCCAAGCGCCGTTTCTACGTTGTTGCGAAAGCACAATATTTCTGCTTATCAAGAACCATAAAACATGTACGGGACCAAGGTAACAATAATCAAGCAACCAAAATCGTTTCTTATCGAGTTTAGGTACATTTATGAAACACGCAGGCCAGAATAGTCCAGAATATATCCTAACCTAACCTAACCTAACCTAACCTAACCTAACCTAACCTAACCTAACCTAACCTAACCTAACCTAACCTAACCTAACCTAACCTAACCTAACCTAACCTAACCTAACCTAACCTAACTGAGAATAGACCAGAACCTAAGCTAAGCTAAGCTAAGCTAGCCTGACCTGACCTGACCACCCTATATCCCCTTCAACCCAGCATCTCATTGGCATCCATGCTCCATGCCATATATAGGTGCCATATAGTGAGCTTTTATTTAGCTGCCATGTTCTCATTTTGCTTTACATTCCCCACCCAATCCCCCTGCAACCCATGGTCCCGTTGGCGTCGAGGATCAAATTTCATGGATTCTTGCTACCTTGTCCCGGTACATTTTTATGGTTCGCGGTAAATGTGGTTTATAGTTATAGTATGGTTTATATAGTATAGTTTATAGTTATAGTTATGGTTTATAGTATGGTTCGCAGTTAATATGGTTTATATGGTAAATATGGTTATGGTAAATATGGTTTATGTTTAGTAAATATTTTTATGGTTCGCAGTTAGGTTATGGTTGTCCTGCCTTAAACATGACAAATGGTTTACTTTGGTCCCGTACATTTTGTACAGTTCTTGGTACGCAGAAATATTGTATTTACGCAACGGCAACGCGGAAACGGCGCTGGGGAGTCCAGGCGGTGCGGTGCGGTGCGCGCGGCGCTCGGGGGCCCGCCATCGAAGTTATTGAAATTCGAAGGTAGGAGCATGACTCTACCTGTTTTGAGATTATTTATGATATGTCATGCCTTAAACACGACGAATGGTGTACAATGATTTTTTCTAACGTTAGGTAGGAAAGTACACCCTGACCTATGAACTTGACGCTCCTCAAACCCAGGCTGGGCCAAATTATGCTAAATTCCCATTTCTCTCAAAAACATTGTCAGCTTGTTTCCCTTAGATACCGTTTCCAACGTCACAATTTCTTGAGACATCGGCTATTCATATGCTGAAACTGATGAAGACCTCACACCAAGCTCTGGGGCTCGGATACACGATGACACGAGTGTGCTGAAATCATTGACAGATTTCGCTGCTTCGCCGAAGATGCTTGGCGCAACGTGTATTTCCTTCATTCTGAATAACGTGCGCCTCATTGCCATCCGCTATTTGGGCTTCAAATCTCCTAAATTTAGGCCCATACCAACCCCGGTCTATATCACCTCCTCGGCCTGGGGGACCGAAGGTCTCCAACAATCTTTTTTTTTGCAACAGCCAAAGATTGTTTGTCTATTCTGCGTCAATTTGACTTCCGAGTCGCGGATGGTCGAATGTTCGACATTCTTTAAGTTGGTACCACATTCACATTCAGATATATTCGTCAAGTTGGTGCCACATTCACATTTAGATGCGTTCGTCAAGTTGGCACCACACTCACATTCAGATTCAGGTCCATGTTCGGGATGGAGCGGACTCCTCAGATTGGCCTGGAACTAAGGCGTACCGGTCCGGGATTTTGCGCTTGCTATCTTCAGAAGGTTGGCCTGCATCCGTATACAAAGTTTCAGGCCAGTCTGAGGAGTCAGCTGAATCTCGAATATCGACCTGAATCTGAATATGGATGATGTATCCACCTGACGAGCGTGGGCAGTAGCGCAGGCAGGGGCGACAGGGGGCACGCGCCCCCCCCCCCCTTGGTTCCGAGGGGTTTGGCCCCTCGGAACCTACTGTTAAGGGCCTGAAATGCCAGCCCTCATTAGGGGTCTCGACCCGCAGGGCCAGCTACTCCAATGCCAGCCAGAGGGCCCTGCGCACTGACCGGGGGTCCACCGAGTCGATAACGGCCTATATTTCGGTCAGACGCAGGCAGTAACGCACAGTCGGCTCCATGGTGGCATGGGACTAAGTGCCTATATCCAAAGTAGGGGTAAAGGCGGAGGCAGCGATTTACGTTGCTTGGGACTCCACAGCGCCTAACAGGGGCTTTGTGTTGTCAATGCGTCCCGAGTCGGCCAGAGGCAGTGTTCGAGGAGGTCCGAAGAGCCTAGAGGGCCCACCGGGTTCAACGATCAAGCGCTCGGTTGGAGGGTCTAAGGACGTAAAGGGCTGGTCTGGGTCTTATTCATGGGCCCCGACCTGCGAAGACGGGCACTCAAATAACGGTCAGAGGTCCTTTTAAGTCGATGGGGGACCCCCCCCCGCGTCGATATGGAGCTGTGTGCCCGTCAGGTACAACCGTACCACATAGTCAGCTCTGTGTCAACATAGGCTGGACACGATTCTCAATCAGCTATAAAGCCGGAACCAGTGATTTACACTGGTCTGGGGCCTTGTATCTGTCAGGGGTCCACGGCGCCTAACAGAGGGCTCTGTGTTCGCAAGGGCCCCGAGTTGACCAAGCGTCGATGAGGCTCAAAGAGAGTCCCGGTGGCCTACTGGAAACGACGATTAAAAGCCCGGCTTGAGGGCATAAAGGCCCGCAAGACTGGCTGTAGGTCACATAAAGAATCGCAGCTCGTAGGGTCGCGACTTGAAATATCAGTCAGAGGTCCCCTTGCACCGTTTGAGGAACCCCTGAGACAATGCGGGTGTCTAAATCGGTCGGAAAACACGAACACCGAACAGGCGACTCCACGTCCGTCTGAGCCCGTGAGACCCATTTCCCACGCAGAAACGACTGGAATGTTGTGCAATGATGAGAGCCGGTGATTTATTTCATGAAGTCATTTGACGCTTGCCTTTGTCAGCTATCACTATAAGCTTGCGGCAAATACATACATATATATATATATATATATATATATATATATATATATATATATATATATATATATATATATATATATATATATATATATATAAAAGAAAGACGGACCCTCAACCACAAATTGGCCACATCCGGCGATTTTTTGGGGGCCTTTCACTGTCAGGGGGCTCCTTGTCAATCCTGTGCTCCCCCTTGCCAAGCCTCTAGCTGAGCCTCTGAACATGGGTACTCGTAGAATTCTTTATGAAAAAGTCTTGGAAACAACTGTGCGTCATTGAGGCTTCTAAAACCAAGGCGACATTCGCTATCTGCAAATGACCGAATTTTGAACTGTTTGATTCGATCTAATTTCCCATTTATCAAGTTCGTTTCAAACAGTGGCTGCTGAGTAAATTTTGAGATCTGAGCGATATGTTTTTTAGATCTGAGCTACCTCCTTTTACACGCTGATTTTTTCTTTACCTTTTTAAGTTGCTTATTCCTCGTCTATGTCACCATAGCGCTTAATGAAGGCTTATTATAAACTGATAAATCCAGTCTTGAAGGTTCCAAATTGATTCAATAGCCACTTCTCGAACACAAGCGCACGCTGCTGTCTGTTTTTAGTTCCACTTATCACCTAACGGTCGTCGCATCAACTGCAGTTTCCAATATCTTTTCATAGGGGTTTGTTAGGGTAACGTCGGGGAAAGACGCTGCCCGGTAAGCGTAGGGGTTGAGGTCTGGGGGCCGTTTGGGTTCGGGAAGCGGGTGCTGGCAATCGGCGGTGCTCTTGCTCACAGTAAGACTAGTTGTGCTAATATATTCCAAGTTCAGTAGCAGGTTTGTAGATTCCGAGAATGCAGTAGCATATGTCGCGAGTGGTGCCATCAGATTTGAGTGGCGTGAAGATGTTCAAACTGATGCTGATTTACTGGCTAAGGCTGGCCGAGAAATGACCGATTTGGCTCAGACTCCAAAAACTGTCCGATTTGTAGACGCAGGCCCGTTTTAGGGTGTGTAGCCCCCAATATTGTCAGAGATGGTGGCCCCACATGATTTCTTCTGTGCTATAATTGTTGATGTGCACAGTTTGTGCATTGACATTCAGGCATTTGGTCTTGATGCTTCAATGGCATTCCAGTGCATATAAGTGCATTCAGGAATTGAATAGAAAGTCACATGGTTCCTGATCCGCCCTCTTCAATAGCTGACATTGTTTTCAAGCCACCAAGAGTTCTTTCAGTTCTTTTTGTTTCTAGTTGATGTGTGCTCAAAGAAATAGCTGCATGGCTATGAACCAATATCTTGTAAATCACCATCCTTCGAAGCATGTTTGATTGGTTCTGAATACTAAATCAAATATAGGTTACTAGAATGATACTTGTTGAAAGCCTTCCATAATAGTCCCAATGAATTCACCTGAATTGTTTATAGCAGATCAGTTATTTCATAAATGGCCCATGACCAATAGACCCATTGAAATCTCCAGGCTTCAGGTAGACTCAAATGGGCATATAACAGACATGTAGCCTGTAGGGATTCCATGTCGGGAGGCCGAGACCTTCCCCCTAGATTTGAAAATATCAATTTTGAGGTGTGCCAGATATGTGGGGTCTGAAAAACTGTTAAACCTCCTTTATTTAGATCATAGAAGATATTAAGCAATGAAGCCTGTTCACACAATGGATCTCACCATTCTTGTAGGGCTTATGATTGTCTCAGCCACTGTAGTGTCCCCCAACAACCTCTGTGTGGTCCTGATTGGGCCAACATGTGAACATCCTTTGCATCCTATAGGTGAACTCCCTATGTAAGCTCTCGTCATGTCCTATGGATAAACTCCCTTTGTATCCTGGTGGTGAAATCCCAGTTTTTTATGAGTTTGACCCAAACCCTTTGAATGGATGGATTTCTGGGATCAGCACTGGCAATTCCAGGCCAGGCAACAGCGGAACTTAGTGGCAAAAGCTTTACATGCCGCAATGCTGGGCATGGTCCATCTTGCCCTCTGACATCAACTGACCTTTAGCGCGACCCTAAAGTGACTTGAACCGATCCCGCCAGCGGTGGGTGGATCCCTCCCGCCAGGGGTAGGTGGATCAGAATGCAGGCGCTCTAATCAACGGAGCCACGGGGATGACAGACAAATTTCATGAGGTGGATTGAGGAGGAGGTAGACGCAACTGGATTTCATGAGGTGTCCCATGGTCCAAGTGTCATTTTGATGGAATCTACTGATGGCTCATCATTTGTTCAGTTTGTTGTGACTTTTGTGATTACTGTGCTGATTGGTACCATCTACTGCAATATGTATGTTAGTAGGAATCTGTCTGTAAATGTCACTTCCTCAATAATGAATAAGGCACACTACTCATTGGCCCAGGTTGTTGTGTGTGCTTTTGATGGTACATGCTACATGTATGGGAACATGCTACCCCTAAGCAATATGCATGCAGTGTTGTAAAATACCTCATATCAGGTACTTGTAGCAGTCTCGAATTTCAGAAGTCTGATCTTGTGTTTTCCATGCAGGCCTGTAAAGATGTTTGCTGCAAAGCTGTTTAAGCGTGGTTCTAAAAAGGTTTAGTATTATGCATCTGGATCTCTTGTTTTGTATTGGTGCACAGTCATATCTACATTTGAAATAAGTCACCATGGATGTTGTTATGTTGTATTGATGAGGCAGTAATGCCTGTATTTTGTCTTTTATTTTGGGATAATTCAATCCAGCATGAGTAAATAATGAAAAATTGTTAATAGTGTGGTGCACTATAGACCTGAATGGCTATAATGTGTAAATGATTTATTTGGCTGCTCCTTGTCACCTTCTTTGCTCTTTTTTATGGCCAAAGCAACTGGTTTCTGGTTGATGTCCAATAGTAATACCAGTACAAATGGAGGTGGCACTCTTCTATATGGTCTTTGTGATAGCTGTTTTGTAGTCACCAGCAAGGCTTTACCACCAGGGAAGCAAACTACAGTCTTGTCCTGAATCTGCTCTTCATACCAGTGTTTGATGCAAAATGTAAGGCTACCTGTGAAGCATTGTCATTCATGCAGGATGCTATGTTTTACAACATGACATAAGACAGCATACTACAGATTGGCCAAGCCACTTTTTTACCCTTGTTCCCTGCTTCCATTTCGCTTAATGTCGCCATTGTCCGCTGTCCACGAGCATTGCACCATAGCGCACAAGCAAAGAAAACGCACTACGCCACCCGGCACGCTTTCGTACGTCCTTGGCGCTCGCTTGGTACCGTTGCGACCGCGACTTCCCGAACAGCCCGTCGGCTCATGTCTTCTCACACACGGCATCCACTGGGAACGCCGGCAAACTGTTCAGCCGCCATCTGTCGGTGTTGGCTGCACGCCGACCGCCACCCGGCCTCGTGGTCAGCTCGGAGCCGGGCTCCGCGGCGCCCGGCCGGGCGCTGCTGCGCGTCTCAGTCGGTCCCCGCCGCCTCAGTCGGTCCTCCACGCCGCCGCCGCCGCCGCCGTCGCCATCGCCGCCATCGCCGCCGCCATCGCCGCCGCTGCCGCTTCAGCTGCCCTGATGCCACCCACGTCGCACAGGCGGAGGAGAAGCCAGCCGGCGGCGCCGACGAGGAGGCCCCGGAAGAGCCAGCAGACGAGCCAGCGGACGAGCCAGCGGACGAGCCAGCGGACGAGCCCGCGGACGAGCCAGCGGACGAGCCCGGCGTGCAGGACGAGCCGGAGACGACCATGTCTGACGAAGAGCCCACCATGGAGCAGAAGGTAACGGCACGCCCCACGGCCGCCCCGGCCTCCTGGGCCGCAGGCGGCGCTCGCCGGGCCGCCCGGGGCCAGATGGCTTCTGGTGCGGGACATGGCGATTGACGTATGCTGGCGCGGCGGCGGCTGAAGCCCTGGTTGGTGTTGATGTGTTTTACTGCGTAAACGCAGCTGTGTGCTGATTGGTGAGGTCTGGGCCGGGTGCAGCGTCGGAGTCTCCCACCGTCCTATGTTTGGTGTTGTGTGCTGGATTAAGAAGCCTGTGCGGTGGTAACCAGCGCGGACCCGGCTTCGCCTTCACCACGGCCGTTTTGGAAGTGCGTTATGGTTCAGTGAGAGGACGCGCGGTTATCCTCCAGCTGGATGGGGCCGGAATCTGGCGAGCTGCTGGCACTGGCCCGCGTCGGATGCGGCGGTCCGCTTTCTTAGCTCAGGGTTGCCGGACCACTGGCAGAGCACAACGGATGGGGCGCCCGTGTGCACATTAGAGCCCGCTCAGCGGGCGTGGTGGCTCAGCCCTGAGCAGCCGATACGGATAGCGGCTGCACTGACAGGACTGGCCGAAGTAACTGACCACCCCATGCCAGTGTTGCCGTCCGGGACTGCCGGACTGGTCGCTGCAAATCGGCGCTGCCTGATGCGCCATGGTCGATAGCCCCTCCTATCTAGACTATGTTTGCCTTGGTCAAGTTAAAGGTCACCGAGGCACCCCAGTGCGTCACTAATCGTGCATGTACGCGCGCCGCAAATGCGTGCGCGCCGGCCCGACTCGGCGCCGTCCCCGCCCACACCGTGCGTTGTGGCGGACAGCCGCTGGCGGGCTCGCCGACGGACGGCCGGCTGTCGGCGGCCGAGCCGGCCCCGCTCGACGGGCCGCCGTCGTTCACGGGCAGCCAGGAGGAGCGGCTCAGCAGCCGCGGCGATGACACGGAGGAGGCCGCTGGCGCGCCGCTCGACCCACCCAGCGACGCGGAGGCTGAGGTGCCGCCCCAACAGGCAGCGGTCATGGCCACTGCCTGGCTGGGGGCCGATCGCAGGAGCCTTTGCCGTGCTGTGTGCTGCTCACATGGCCTGTTGCTGCGCTGCGGGCTGCTCACATGGCCCGTTGCCATACTATGGGCTGCTCACATGGCTCGTTGCCGTGCTGTGGGCTGCTCACATTTCCCGTTGCCATACTGTGGGCTGCTCACATGGCACGTGTCATGTTATGGGCTGCTCACATGGAATGTGCCATGTTATGGGCTGCTCACATGGCACGTGCCATGTTTTGGGCTGCTCACATGGCACGTGCCATGTTATGGGCTGCTCACATGGCACGTGCCATGTTATGGGCTGCTCACATGGCACGTGCCATGTTATGGGCTGCTCACATGGCACGTGCCATGTTATGGGCTGCTCACATGACATGTGCCGTGCTGTGGGCTGCTCACATGGCCGTTGCCGTGCTGTGGGCTGCTCACGTGGCCCGTTGCCGTGCTGTGGGCTGCTCACATGGCCGTTGCCGTGCTGTGGGCTGCTCACGTGGCCGTTGCCGTTCTGTGGGGTGATCACATGATCCGTTGCCATGCTGTGGACTGCCCACATGGCCGTTGACGTGGGCTGTGTGTTGTCCGGTCGCGTTGCGTGCAGACTTGGGGTGCTCCCATTACGTTTGCGTTGCCTGCGCGTGATCGCATGGCCGGCCGTTGTGGTCATCCGGAAAGCTGAGGAAAGGCCGCGCAGGTATGTGGACAGAGCACCGGCGTGTGCCGCTTTCCGCACCGTGCTGCCGCCTGGTTCGCACGCGTTCCCAGCGGTCCGCGCGCGGCCGCGGAGCTGGCGGTCGGTGGCGGCGGACGGGGCCTCGGACCGCTTGGACGGCTGTTGCCTGGCCGGCGTGGCGGGCCCCTTCTCCCGCTGCGTCTGCGTTGTGTCCTTGGCAGCCGGACGGCGCGTCCACCGGCGCGGGATCATCTGTTAATCTTGAGCAGGGAATGCTCTGATGACATTGGCTGAAAGGCCACCATTAATGCACTGAGCGGCCTGAAACGGGCCGACCGTGGGCAGCCGAACAGGGCCAGCGTAGTGATGTGGCGTGGTGTGACCCCGGTTGGCCGACACCGCCCCTCATCAGCATGAAGCAGTAGATTTTGTGTGGCTGACCCGAGTGTTGTGTGCTCGCATGATATTGCGCTTGTTTCATGCTGGGGGAGTCGTGCTCGATTGCAGGTGCGGAAGATCGGCAGCCAGCAGTTACTTCCCGCTCTGAACGTTGAAGAGCAGCAGTAGCATTGAATCGAGAGATAAAAGCTTAACAGGATATGTCGGAACTCCTGTATTGATTTCTCTTCATCATTGGCGATTTTGTCTAGTCGTGCAGCATCAGTGTGCCATATGCGGTGGATTGTGTTTCATCTGGTAGGTAGGGCCGTGATATCTGCAATTGACTGCTCCAACCTTGACATTTTGCCTCTCAACGGACGTGCCACCGTGTCTGTCGATGACCGCACCTACTGCGGGTGTGTTCCCCTTCGGAGGTGGCGCAGCGCCGCGTCCCACAAGCGCGTGTGCTCACGCCCGCGCTCCCGCCCCAGGACATGCCGCCCGACGACCCCCCTCCGGGCGACGGCGACGAGGAAGAAGAGGACGACGATGACGTACAGAGCGCTCGCATCGAGGGGTGAGCACGCCCAGGCCCGCCGGGCGAGCGGGGTCAGAGACCTGGGCTGGGCCCGGCAGCCGCACCAGGACGGGAAGCTATATGGTGGCTGCTGGGGCGCCGGCCCGTCACGTCCAACGGAAACGCGACGTTCAGTTAGTTTCGGGCGCAGTGCGCTGTTGGCTGGCCATCCAGCGTGGCTAGTTTCCTTGTTGATGAAAGACGAGCATGTGTGTGCATGCAGTCGCCTTCAGGGATATCCTGTGTGTGACCACATCCTGTCCTTCGCTGTTCCGCCCATCCTGGCGCCTCCGAGTTAGGTCACGAAGTTCGACGTACGCGCACGTCTCTGTACATAACCGGTCATGGGGCGCCTACCTGGCGCCGCACCCGGCTGCAGACCCCCAGAGCTGATCCCGTCTGCCTCTCTACTCCCTCCCGTCCCGCTTCCGTCCGTCAAGCTCCCTGGACTGAGCTGGCTCCCGTCCGCCAGCGCTAGCACGCCAGGCGAGGAGGTGGACACGGTGACGCTGGAGGGCGAGGCGGAGGTGCGTGTGGCGCCGGCCGCCGCGGCGGCGGCGCAGGAGCCGTTCAGCGCCCAGCCCACGCGCGGCGCGCGCAGCATGACCCTGACGCGCGAGGGTTCCGGCGAGACGGTGGACGAGAACGGCGTGGCCGAGCCGGAGGCGGTGCCCGAGCAGCTGAAAGATAACGTGTATGGCACGCTGAAGATCGCCGACGACGGCAACATGACCCTGGAGGCGTACGACCGGCCGGCCACCGAGGCCGAGACGGGCGCGGCGACGCCCGGCCAGCAGCAGGCGCAGGGCACGCTGCAGCCGGGCTCGTCGCCCTCGCAGCAGGCGGCGCCGCCGCCGCAGAGCACGCCGTCGCAGCAGGTGCAGGCCATGCTGCAGGCGGAGGCGTCGCCCGCGCAGAAGGGGCCGCCTCAGGCCACGCCGTCCGGGGGGATGCAGCCGGAGGCCTCGCCGTCAGGACTGCAGCGGCCGCGAGGGATGTCCATCGAGAGGTGATCCTGGCTCCCGGCTGTTCTGGTGTGTCCCGAGGATCCCGTGACCGGTCCGTTCTCTTGACGCTGGTCGTCGGCCTAGCCCGGTCATCAGTCCTACGCGCGCTTTGGTGTTATTCACATGTCTCCAGCTTTTAGTATTTCTGTTGCTTTGTTTTCGGCCTTCGAAGTTACGGGCGAGCATTTCGCGCTGTTTTTAGGACGGCCAGGTAAATGTTGCCTTTCAGAAAGCACTCTTGCCCTTGGCCTGCTTTCTTCTTTTGTAATGTCAAATACCGCATCCTGACCCCCTGTCCGTCACCGCCCTCCTTGCCTGCCGCCCGTGGCGCCCCAGGTCACCTGAAATGGAGGTCAACATGCGCCAGCACCTTGCGCCTGGGCCGACCATCTCACCCGACCAGCAGAAGATGCTGGACGAGCTGGGCGTGGGCGCCGGCCCCACCGGCTTCAGCAAGACCAAGGAGGTCCGCATGCTCGCCTCCGACGTCATGATGGAGACCATGGAGGCCAAGCTGGTATGTCGTGGGGGAGAGTGTGGCGGACGGGCCGGTCCGGAGGAGGACGCTGCAGCACGTATGGAGGGGCCGCTGGGCGAGTGGCGTCTGGAAACGACAGCAGTTTGGTGGCACTCTGCGCGAAGTGTTGTGGACGCGGTCAATCCCCAGTACTGGATCCGCCCAGACCCAACCAGAACTGTCGCTGGCCTTTGCCTGTCCTGAATCTGTGTGACCTGACCTGACCTGGCCGCCGACCTTTCGATCTCGCCTCGAATCTCCACCTGGCCGCCGACCCAGCTGTGACCTGTTCCGTCCCGGTCGTCCTGACCTGTCCTGCCGTCACCCGTCCGACTCTCCAGGGCATCTCGTGGCGGCGCGACATGGACCGCGAGGAGGCGATTGACGCGGCGCGTGCCGAGTTCTACCAGCACTTCGCCGGCCAGGGCATCTTCAAGGAGACCGAGATCGGAGAACCGTAACTATCCTGCTGTCCTGCCCGTCACGGCGACCGGCGGAGGTCCTCCCAGTACCGACCTCCTTGGTTCGTTGCCGGCAGTGCGCCCCGGATAGCCAGTGATCCGGGCTGCGTGGGGTCCGTCCTTTTCCCGCGCCGAATGCCTGTGTTGGGCTATGCGTCGAACCGGCAGCACGCGACCCACCACGTGCCAACGTGCTCGTCTGAGCCCGCCTGCACCTTACCTGTGGCATTCGGCCAGCGTCGCCGGCTGTGGTCAGCCGCATTTGGAGCCCATGTACACCCCACGCAGACTCCTTGTAGTCGCTGGGCCAGCCCACGGGGTGACGCGGACACGGTCCCCTGTAGACTCCCCGTGTCTGCCGCGATGACGTGTGACCAGACCCGTGACCGCTGACCTCGCCTCTGACCGGCCGTCGCCGCCCGTCCCCAGGGCGTACGACCCGAGCGACTACGAGCACCTGACGGTGACGCCCGAGATCGCCCAGATGTTCCAGTTCATCACCAGCTACACGCCGCAGACCGTCGACCTGGAGAACCGCCTGCGGCCCTTCATCCCCGACTTCATCCCGGCCATCGGCGATATCGACGCCTTCATCAAGGTCGAGCGGCCAGACGGCAAGGCCGACTCCATCGGTCAGTGACGGCAGCTGCTGCGAAGCGTTGGGTGGGACGTCAGCTGTCTGTGTGGTAGGTGTGATGTGAACGGACGTTGGGTGTGACGTCAACTGTCTGACAGGTGTGATGTGACCGGAAGTTGGGTGCGACATAAGTTAGCTGTGTGGCAGGTGTGATATGAACGGACGGTGTGCATGTGACGTCAGTTGTCTGTGTGACAGGTGTGATAGGCTGTCTGTGTGACCGGTGTGATGTGAACGGACGCGGTGTCAGCATCCGTCATACTGCCGGGTGTGGTACCCGCAGGTGTAGGACGGCGAATCCCGCGGTCTGTGGGATGGCCGTTTTTGTCCCGCCGTGGTATCCAGTACGTGGTCGTACGGCGGTGATAGCACGGACAGCGCATGCATATATATATATATATATATATATATATATATATATATATATATATATATATATATATATATATATATATAAGAATGAGATTATATCACGCCCCTGCACCACCTGGACCTGTTGCACGCCCCTGCGCCACCTGGATCGCCTTCGGCAGGCTGTCCCGGCGGCTCTTGCACGCAGTAGACGTGTCCTGCTTCGCCGCCGCCACGCCAGGCCCGGTGTGTGACCCCGCCCGCCAGGCCTGTCGGTGCTGGACGAGCCGCGCGCCCAGCAGAACTGTCCCATGGCCCTTCTGCCACGCCAGAGCCCGTGTGTAACCTGAGCTGACTCCGACCGCCAGGCCTGTCGGTGCTGGACGAGCCGCGCGCGCAGCAGAGCGACAAGAACGTGCTGGACCTGCAGCTGCGCGCCGTCGCCAAGACGACCACACAGAAGCAGACGACGGTGGCGAGCGTGGCCAACGCCGACCGCAACCCCAAGGCTGTGGAGAAGTGGATCAAGGACATCGGGGACCTGCACCGCTCCAAGCCGGCACCCTCCGTACACTACAACAAGTGAGTCGGTCATGGGATGGGGGCGAGGGCGCGGAGACTTAAGCTCAGGTGGCACAGGAGAAACAGTCGTTCTTCGTAGTGCTCTTACCTATATGTGGACCCAAGCACTTAGTATTTGTGCTTGTATGGCCGTGGTTCACCTGCGACCCTGGGTGGAGTCTGCTTTTCTGAAGAAGGGATCTATTCCATGCATATCTTCCGTGGGCCGGTTGATGTTTACAGAAAATCACTAGGCATTTGGAAACGTAAAAACTCGATGGTTTCCTGTTGGGGGGAATTTCTCTGGTCCTCAACGGTCTGACCAGGCTCTGCCCACGCCTGCGGCGTATGTTTCGCGTAGCAGTTGCCTGCACCGTCGTAACGTGTTGTCCTCCATTCATATCTACTTGTTCTAGCGGTTACAATGGATGTATTCGAACGTTTATGTCGTGCTCAAGTTCATGCTCCATGTGAATCATTGTCTTGTGGTAAGCCCCTGCACTCTGTCTGGCATGGACGGGCCAGAGCTGACTGCGACGGAATGACTCGTCCCCTCGGCTGTCGTTTGCCGTATCCGGCGGTTGCCGTTTTTGATCCCCACGTCTGCTGTGTCTGATCCCCATGTCTGCCATGTCCGATTCCCACGTCTGCCATGCCCGATCCCACGTCTGCCGTGTCTGATCCCTACGTCTGCCATGTCCGATCCCCATGTCTGTTGTGTCTGGTCGCCATGTCTGCTGTGTCCGATCCCTACGTCTGCCGTGTCCGATCCCCACGTCTGCCGTGTCGATCCCTACGTCCGCCATGTCGATCACCACGTCTGTTGTGTCCGATCACTGTCCGCTGTGTTCGATCACCACGTCTGCCCTGCGGCCGTCGACAGGCCGATGCCGGACATCGACTTCCTGATGCAGGAGTGGCCGGCCGAGTTTGAGGAGGTGCTCTCCAGCACCCACCTGCCGACGGCCGACCTGGACTGCGACCTAGCCACCTACGTCGAGATCATCTGCAGTGAGTGTGCTCCGCCCGGCCCGGCTCGGCGCGCGCCGGCGGAGCGCGCTATGTCGGCTACTGCGCCAGAAAGACGCGAGTGAACTGGCTGTACTGAGAATGGCATTTGTCCTCCCAAAAAGTGGCTGTTATTTTAAATTGGGGGTAGTCGCGACATGTTTTCTTGACGTATTTGGTTTATTTTTCGTTTGTTTCTTTTTGGCTATTTTTGTCCGAGAAGTTTGGACTGACACTGCAAAGTACCGTTGACTCGAACGCAGCGGGGAACGCTGATATTAGATTGCCACCGCCGGCTGGTCATGTCATCCATTATGGTAGCGGTTGAGCTCAAAGTAGTACTGCCGAATAGCAACGGTAAAAGTGACTACATTGCTTTGTTCGTGGTTTGGTTGTCTCGAAATATTTGGTTGTCTCGAAGATGAAATCGTTTTGAAGCTCGAAGCCGTGTGAAGAGTATTGGTGACAGCCGACGCCGTGGTGGAGTTGGTCGATAATGCGCACGTGATTGTGTTCGAGCGGATTGGACTGACTCTGCGTTCCTGTGAAAAAGAGAGACGCTTGATATTTCTAATCGCTATTCTGTTGCCTGTTCTGCAATCTTCCGCCGAGTCCTGACCGTCCTGTCGGTGGTCCGCAGGCATCATGGACATCCCGGTGTACAAGTCCAAGATTCAGTCTCTGCACGTGCTCTTCACGCTGTACAGCGCCTTCAAGCAGTCCGGTCACTTCGGGCAGCAGCCCGAGACCAACCCTAACTACCAGCCGGGCGCGCCGTGATCGCCTCGGAGGGCCTCCGGCCGGCGCTGTGCCGCCGCGGCCGCCGCCCGCCGCCGGTGCTGCGGACGTGCCCGGGGCCGCGGGGCTCGGCGCGGCGGCCCGTGTGTCGGCGCTGCTCCGGGCAGCCGCTGTGGGGGCGTGCTATGCTGGGGTGGGCGGATGATGTCTGCGGACCGGCTGAGGGGCTCATGTTTCACATGTGCATGTGTCGTGGGCTACGGCGCATGCCCCCCCCCCCCCCCCGTCTGGTCAGGATTCACGGTCCAGTTATTACAATACTGCTGTCGCGGCCAGGCTGCGCCGATCAGCCGTCGATGTGCGGCCGCTGGTTCGATATGGACGGCCGCGCTGCCGGTCTGTTTCAATGTGCCCGCTGTTTGCTGTGTCGAGATTACCCTCAGAAAAGACGCTTTCTGCCAGCAGGACTGGCCGCGGCAGGATATCGGCGGAAAGCGCAGGCTTTCCCCACGTTGATCTCATTTCTCGTTGTTCTAGTCTCGCATATCGCCTAGTCAGCGCGGTGTGTCACGTTATTGTACGTTAAGCACAAGCATGTGACGACGCTGATTTACGAGCGGTTCGTCTCCAGCAACGGCTCCGTCCATTGACTGCCTCGGTTGCGGTGTGTTTGTGATGTGCACTTGTCAGCCAATCCGGCAAACTCGGCCGCGGAAAATACAGCCTATTCTCGCATGTTTTTTTCGGCTGAATTGGGAGATGAGCTGTCCACACAGCAGCTGTCCTGGAAGATTGCGCCTCACTTTCCGACTGACACGGCGGCGGCGTGATCACTGATCACTGATCACACACTGATCCGACACCCGGCGGCGCAGGAATGGCGATGCATGGCAGGTCATGGTGACAATTCCTATGCGCTATCACGCCCCTAACGGCAGGCGTGTCTGAGAGACGAAGTGACCGCCACGCAACACTTACGGTAGGTAAACGGACAGCCTCGTGCCCTGAGGCGAACCAAATAGGTGTTTGTGCTTGGAAGCGCGTACAGGTTACGGAGATATCCTTTAGGTGCAGCGTCGCCTTGTGTTACATCTGGGCAACATGTCGCATAAAGCTAGCTGCATTTGTTAACTGTTCCACGTGTACATAAATCATGCGCACTTAGCGGCGCACAGCTGCAGTCCATCTGCTCGATGTGGGACTTTTGCCGGCCAACACCTGCCGTTTGACGCACCCGACCGTCGAGTGGCATTTTGCGGCTGCTGGTGTCTACAATGGCTGGCTGACACCAAGCTCTCCTGACGTCAGCACCAGCTCGGCTGAGGGAGTCTGCGAGAGGCCCTGCGACCAGCGCAGACTGTCACAGACTCCGTGGGACAGAAAAGTGGCGTCGAGATTAAACTGCACCTGAAGAGTGGTGTTCTTAAGCTCAGATCACTTGTCTGAATGCATCAATAATATGGCGTGGCGGACCTCGCGCTGCAGATGGCCTCACTGGCCACGTGCGAATCGTCCTTGGGCACGCAAGCCCAGCAGACCATCGCCGCACTGTCGGTGTCCCCGGACAACGGACCCGTATCAGCCATGGTGGCTTCGGTTGTCGGCTTCTGTCGCTCGAGGGCAGCTTCAGCGGAATCCCGCGATGCAGATGGCGCTAGTGGTGGCTCACGCAGCCGTCGGCCGCCCTGGTGACATCCGCGGAAGGAGCTCAGGTAAAAATATCGCCGATTGTAATATGATGTGGATCACAAAACACCATTATGCCCCAGACGTATGGAAATACCAGTTTTTACATCTTGATTGGTTCGCAAACCGAAATATACAGTCCCGGCTGTCCAGAAATATCTTAAATTTCTATCCGAATGGGGTAGAAGTTATAAGAGCAATCAGTAAAAATAAACATACATAAGAATAGTAGGCATGTCGAAACAACTTTTAACGAGTTAAATGCGTATAAACTTATAACATAGTCTCGTGGTTGGTTTGGTATATCTCTCTTCGACAGCCTTCATTTAATCTGCAATAACTCTCTGCGACGCGTTGGTTTCATCATGGGATCGCGGGAGGCTGTTACGCGGTAATTCCGTGGCATGATGGGCTTAGCATAGCTTTACAGGACGCTAGTACGTGGTAATTCCGCGTCATGCTAGTCCTAGGATGGAATCACGGGAGGCCACTACGCGGCAATTTTTCCTCATCGGATGTCTCAGTGGCGCTTCACAATGCGGTGCATGATTTCGGAGCATCATGGTTGAATGCAATGTGCCAAAGTGCCAGTAAATTTGTTACTCGAGTTGCTGGGATTTACATGCGTTTCTATAGTTCGAATGTCGTGCTCATGTAAGCAAGCTAGAATTGTATTAACTTTTGGTTACGCATATCACCTTGAATTTCTCTCATGAAATGCATCGTGAAAATATTTTATGTCAATTAGGTGACAATATAAGGCCAAATTATCGTGATTCGTGAAAATTTGGATGTTTGCTTTTCATCGAAGCGAAGCACCCACCAAACGACGTGTGGAAAAAATGACTGCGCCTACGATGTCACACAAAATCATGATACAGGTCTGGTGAACATTTTGGCGTCTTAGCGCTGCAGCGCTTTTTATCAACAGCGCGTGACGCAGCCCGCCCAAGTTAAGTGGTTTACCGCTGCCGCTGCGCCATTTCGTGCGCACACGCAAAACATGTCACCGTTGAAACGTAGCCACACGGAACCTAGTTAGCTAAAGCCGCTAGCCCGTGAAGGAACGGGGACATTTTTGCCCGAAGGTTGTTCTTCTTGCGGTTCCTTTGATTAAAAACGTGACAGGCGGTTAGCCATGAAGTCGGCTCCTTACATTGACACAAGTGGCTGCCTTCCTCGACGGAACAAGCTGTCGAATATCGTATAGCTGAACCTGTCGGTTGTTGCGGAGGTAGGGCTGTATTTGTAGAGGCAACTGTTGCTGACAGTTGTAATAGGCTGCATGCTCTGAAATGCCTTCGTAAGAAGCAGGGTGTAGTTCCCTATTCAGTTGACGGGTTTATGCCCCAAAACCTGGGCTCCAGCACCTCCTCCAGCTTTGTTGGGGATGGAAGAAACTGGGCCAAATCCAGGATAAGCAAGCTTTTGACGCGTCTTGAAATCGATTTTGCTATTTTTCACTGTTCAGCCCGCCACCCCTCATCGCCAACTCAGTTCCGAAGCTACGCCCGCTCTGAGGAGCTAAGTAGGCACAGCTCGATTTGTGTAGTTTTCTGGAGAACTTTCAGAAGCGCCAGACGTGGTCTTTACAAAATGTGAATCGCGCGATCGAACGCCACACGCTTACAGGAAGGCTTGCCCTCGACCTGCTGCATGTGCTTGCTGCTTTGTCCTGCTAGACGGTCATGCGGCCAACATAGTTCTTCCTCTGTTCAGACTGTTAACCATTCATTATGAGCTCAGCCTTCTATTATGCTGACACCTATCGATCTAAAATATGTCAGATGGTACTGGTTAAACGGCATGTCAAGCCAACATTGGCTATCTTGTCAATAACCTTAGGCGTTGCAACCAGTGGGTGTTAACCATATAACCAGCATTTGCTTCACAATGTCTTCTACCTAGCACCCTTGGTATCGTAAAAGGTCGACTCGTTAGCTATCAGCATGATGTCTCTGAACCCATGATGCCGAAAGACCAGGAGCTAAATGCCTTTCTTGTTTGTATCATGTCACCTAGCCCATGCTACAACACTTATCAGTCCATCCAGTGCAAGGCGAGTCAGAACAGGTTAACAAACCCTTCGCTCTGGAGTGGCGGCCGGCCTGCGCGAGGCTGCGGCCCTGTCCCCGTCCTGGCGCGCGCGTGACGTGGCCTGCCGATAACGACGCCGCTCGTTGTGCGTCGTCACCGCCCGACAGACGGGCCCGGGCTGCCTGACGCGCGAGGCGGCGCCGGCGCCGACAGACGGGCCCGGCCTGACGGCCAAACGGCGGCCACTCGGGTGACCCGTGATCTGGGCGAACGCGGGGATGACGCGCTGGGCGCCGTCGACAGGCGGCACGCTCAGATGCTGCGCCTCTCCGTGGGACCGCTGCGACCCGCGGTGCGGAGGCGGCTGAGCACTGGCGGCTTCAGAACAGGAAGACTCGCACTTCGTAATCGTGTCGCAGGTGGACAATCGCAAGTCATGATCTGCAAAATTCAGTCAATTGACCATTCACTCTCCAACGCATCCGCATTGGTGTGTGGAGTATCCACATAGAGACATCCATGCTGGATGCACTGACAGCCATGGGGCTGAGGTCCGGGTCACCTTCGAAGTAATTGGTGCTTAGCAGACATTCCAGCAACCGTCATGGCCGTCACCACTCATCTCCGCTGCGTAACGGCTGAGGCTCAACAGCGACGCCTCCCGTCATCTCGCATGTCAACAGTCGCCGTACAGGCAGTGGTCGCTGTCGGCGGGCTGCCGGTCGGGCTGTCGGTCGGGCTGTCGACCAGGCTGTCGGTCGGGCGGTCGGTCGGGCTGCCGGTCGAGCTGTCGGTCGACCTGTCGGTCGGGCTGTCGGTCGGGCCGCCGGTCGGGCTGTCGGTCGGGCTGTCGGTCGGGTTGTAGGTCGGGCTGCCGGTCTGGCTGTCGGTCGGGCTGTCGGTCGGGCTGCCGGTCGTGCTGTCGGTCGTGCTGTCGGTCGGGCTGTCGGTCGGGCTGTCGGTCGGGCTGTCGGTCGGGCCGCCGGCTAGAGTGCAGGTTGTATCGACCGGCGCCGGCGGGAAGCGGGTCGCACGGGTCAGAGCGCGGGTGCCGGCGGCGCCGGCGGTGTGACGCACCGGCCGTGACGCGTCGGTGACGGATCGCAGCGCGCCTGTCTCCGCCGGAATTGGGTCGGCACCGGCTGACACTGGTGACATAGATTGGCTCCTGGCGCAGCTGCGTCGGCACCGGCTGACACCGGCGACACAGATCGGCTCCTGGCGCAGCTGCGTCGGCACCGGCTGACACCGGCGACACAGACCGGCTCCTGGCGCAGCTGCGTCGGCACCGGCTGACACCGGCGACACAGACCGGCTCCTGGCGCATCTGCGTCGGCACCGGCTGA